AAGTCACAAAACATTTGTTTGAAACATTTTTCTCTAAAATGCACTATTCAAGAGAAATTTGAGATTGTCATTTAAAATGGGACACCGTGTATATATATACTATATAGAATAACTTTAATCTCAGTTTTATTTATTCTTTATTGTTTTCTAATACTTAAAATTAAGACAGGATAAAAAGTAAGTTAAATCGAGATTAAAATTAATCTACATGATAGAAAACTGGTATTAATGTACATGTGATAGAATTATGTAGACACATACCATTTTGCAAAATTCGGAAAACAATAAATCATGTATACGAGTCGTAACGGAGACGCCATGGCAATCCATACTTCGTCCAGTTTATTTGCAATCGCGACGCCCATTAAAATTGCACAACGTTCCACGCTGACTTTGTTTTTAGATGTGTCCGTTGTTACACCGTAATTCTAAACAAAATCATAAAGTGTGGTCAACAATTAGCAATACATAATATATATTGCTGTAATGATAGTTAATTGTTTAATATTATGTACACATATACAGGTGGTCTGCTAATAAAATGCTACTTCTCGTGGACAAGTAAAGCGGATTAAATTGAACGAAAGTATCTTACCGTTTCGCAAATTTTTCCATCATTAAAAAGAAATTAATTAATAAAAATCTACAAACGAATTTATATATATTAATATAATTTTTCTAAAACAAGAAGTTTTAGAAAAAAAAGGTGTCAATGAAGTTGTATTTTACACACTTAATATACCTTTCCGTATCATTATTATGCAGTTATGTAATATTTTCATGTCTCATGTCATAAATTTCCTACACAAACATCCGGATACAGATAAGGACTTTTATGACACGTACCTCGCCAGATTTCTCCGTGAAACTCTTGGCTAGAAATTCGGTCTGCACCGGACCTGGGCAAACCATTGTCATGCTGATATTATTATCAGGATGTTCCAAGAAGAATGGCCTGAAATAACCCTATAAAAGTATATAGTAAAGCATTTTAAGAAGTTGCGAATAATTTTTTCAAAACGAAAGAAGATGATATTTTAAAATTGTTTACATGTAAGGCATGTTTAGTGCCGCAATAGGTCGCCGACATCGGCGCGGGTACAATTCCTGCTAAACTCGAGGTATTGACGATTTGACCTTCGCCTACTTTTAAAAAGTGTTTCACTGCTAATCTGCTCAAAGACAAGATGGAGAATACATTCAAGTCGAACATTTCTTTATCAACCGCTATCTCGATGTTTTCCCATTTTGCTCTTTGACTACGGCCAGCATTGTTGACGAGTATGTCTAACTAAACATAGAAACACATCCTTGGTGAAATTTTTTCTCAGAATTTTTCTCTGAATTTCTGAATAATTTTATATAAAATTTTTCAGATTTTTTAATACAAATTGAAACACTTTTCAAGAATGTTCCAATTTGTATAATTGTTTTGAGCTCTCTAGTGGAAAAATTTTGCTGAAATTTTGCGAAAATTTTGCTGAAAGTGATATTTTAGCGAAATTTCTGAGAATTTGCTAAAATTTTGCTGAAAGTGAATTTTTCAACAAAAATACTGAAAAATTTTATTTTTATTTGATTAAATTAAATTGCTAATTATTTATTTGATTTTTTCTCAGTGTATGAATTCTAAAATATTTGTATATTTTTAAAATTTCTCATTCTATAATTTCTGATGAAATCTTATAAAATAAGAAATCTTAGGTATTTATAGTCGGATCTTATATTTAAGACCGTCTTAAGTACAGTCCTAAGATGTCATGAACCATCAGGCCCGTCTACAATACACGGAGTAAGAAGTAAGAGTAAGAAATTGACCAATCACAGTTGATT